ATTAACGAAATATGTAATGAATAAATTAAATTGAATAATATTTTTTTTACTTAAACAATTAAAATAATTACTTAAAGAAATAGTAAAAGGAAAAATCGAATAAATATTATTCAAATAAATAATGGAAATAGAGTAATTAAATATGAAATAAATAATATACATAATTAACGAAATATGTAACGAATAAATTAAATTGAATAACATTTTTTTTACTTAAACAATTAAAATAATTACTTAAAGAAATAGTAAAAGGAAAAATCGAATAAATATTATTCAAATAAATAATGGAAATAGAGTAATTAAATATGAAATAAATAATATACATAATTAACGAAATATGTAACGAATAAATTAAATTGAATAATATATTTTTTAATTAACCAATTAAAATAATTACTTAAAGAAATAGTAAAAGGAAAAATCGAATAAATATTATTCAAATATGAAATAAATAAAATACATGATTAACGAAATATTTTTTTTACTTCACCAATTAAGATAATTAATTAAAGAAATAGTAATCTCTCCATATTGTTAGTTAATATATATATCGTTGTCTCACTTATTTTAAAAGAAAACAAACAAATACATGACACATAGAAAATACATATGACAAATGTGATAAAAATAAAAAGAGTAATTAAACAATGTGATAAAGATTACATCCGATTTCAATTCAGAAAATCACAAACACATGACAAATAGAGAATACATATGATTTATATAGATACTACACATCCGTCGAGTCATTGTTTAGTGGAATCTGGCTTGTACAAAATCGACGTGTATGTCCTGTAGCACCGCACCTCCCGCACTTACACGGTTGTGGAAACTCTCCTGTAGATGGTATTCTAGACGTCCGTCTACGACCAGGAGTATGCGGTGGAGCTTCAGGTGGCAATAAATTATTAAGTGCTACAATATAATCAGGAACTTCCCACTCGGCTTCATTTGGTAGAGGAAATATAGTTTCGGCATACGCTGCTCTCCAAAAATCAGTCATATAATAATGACTGCACAAGCTGTGTGGTGGAAATCCTCTATACATAGCCACTGCGACAGCATGTGCACATGGAAAACTTTCCAACTGAAATTTTCTGCACGTGCAGGTATTGTCATTCAAGTCTACAATGTATCCAACATTGCGCCCGCATCTCACGAAGAAGCGAAATTGATCTAGTGGTTCCACAAATAGAGCTTTTGCCACTTCCAGAGTTTTGAATAGTCGATCTTCCTGTGCCGGAGCTATCACACTCGTGCAATTTTGGGATTCTTCACGTCGGTCATAAAACCACTGTTGCAACTTGCTGCAAATATGTTCAATCATTGCGAGAATCAGTAACTCTCAATCCTTCTTGAATAATGCATTCAGCGACTCTGCATTATTCGACGTCATCATGTTGTATCGACGTCCTAGAAAATGTGACCGTGCCCAATGTTCAACCCCCATTTCTGATAGATATTCCCATGCACTTTCTGATTTATGTTCTATTTCGCCCATGAACTTTGTAAACTCTTCAAAGCTGTAAGCTTCTGCAGCTCTCCTAAACAATGCAACGATGCCACTGCCCCGGTACCTAGTCTTCAGATTGCCCTGAATGTGGTACATGCAATAACCATGATGTGCTTCTGGAAAAACTTCGGCTATACCATTTATTATTGACTGCCCCCGGTCAGTCACAAATGCAAGGTTCTCGATGTTCCCAATTACTTCTCTCAACTTCGTGAAGAACCAACGCATTGCTAGATCATTCTCTCCATCGACTTTGCCAAATGCAAAAGGGTAAATTTGGAAATTGGCATCTTGACAAGTAGCAATAATCAACTTTCCTTCATATTTAGCTCTTAAGGTTGTACCATCAACTAGAATTAGAGGTCGCATAGCATTTCGAAAACCTCTAATGCATTGTCCAAGAGCCATAAAAAAATACTTGAAGCGATTCTGCCCATCGGTTTCAATAAAAAACGTCGAGTCAGAATTAGTTCTCACCATGTTGTGGCAATACCTGGCCAATTTGGCATAACTCTCCTCTGTCGAACCCATTAAATCTTCCAATGCACATTCTTTAGCCTTCCAGGCCTTCTGGTAACTCATAACCACCCCATACTCTCGACGGATGTCGTTGATGATATCTGTAGGTCTGTAAATCGTCCGTGGATCATGAAACTTGTGCATTATCTGTCGACCAATAAACCATGATCGAGCTTGCCTGTGATCATTTTGACGAATACCCACTTCACAAGTATATTCCCGCGCATACTTACGAATAACAAAGAACTCATTTGTGTCCATCTTTGTCGCACTCAAATGCCAACTGCAATTGTTGTCCACACAAATAATTGTGTATGTAGACTTATTTAATTTTTTTACCTTAAACTCAAAATTATGTTTCATAGCAATTCGGTGCACCGCTTCTTGCAAATCTCTTTTCGTGTCAAACAATTGATCGACATGTAAATCTTCATCATCAGGAACTACACGCGAACAATTAGAAGACCGTGTACTCGGCCCAGCATGTGAGCTCCCACCAGACTCATGTCTCTGTCTGGATAAAGCAATCAAATCCTGATTTGTAAATGGCCTTTCATCCTCGTTGTCTTGAACTTCCTCGTAAATCCTTCGTGTAACGGTGACATCATGGTGAGTAGCAACTGCCCCAGGAATAACCACATCATCCTCCCGAGCAATCTCAACAGTATCCCAAAAATCATTCTCATTACGATCCTCTCCATCAAAAACTTCGTGTTCACCCTCGATGACATTTTTCTTCAACAAACTTACGCAAATAGGAGTCGTCTTTCGACCTTGGTTCAATTGAATTAGATGCTTTATTTGCGCTTCAGAAGTAACTTTCAAAGGTGGAATCGAAATTGTTGAATGCTTTTGAAATAAAAATCCCAATTCCATATCGTACTGAGAGGAATCGACGTTAAGCATGTTTAGTATTTCACTGTACATTTCTGTAAACGAAGTATTTTTTGTTATCGAAATAGCAGCAACCCCTTCTCCTTCACTCGTCCATTTCCATTCCCATTGACCATTTTCTTTCCTTTGAAATTCGCCGAAATAACAGATTGGGACACACGCTTTTGCCATATCTGCATTACGAATTAAAAATATCAGAACAAATTATCAGAAATAAAATTATCAGAATCGAGGGGCGGGGGAGTCTGCAAACAGACGGTCCGGTCCGTCTGTAACGGACGGTCCGGATGTAAAATCCGGCGTTCCGGCGTCTGATCGGTGCCGGCCTGAACTTTGGTTCTAATATTATTTTTTCTACCATTTAAAATAAATATACGATTTGAATAAAAATAAAATTAAATACTACGGAAAGATACTTACCGAATTGAAGTGCTGAAATTTAATTAAATTTTTCTGTTGAGGTTGATAACTGATAAGTTTATGAAATTTTGAGGTTGAAGTGGATGAAAAATGGAAGAGTTTTTATCGTGTTAGAGTAAACTGATGAAAAGACTGACTTCGTTTTCAAATTTCAATTGAGCCTTGTTTGGATTTTTATTTGTAACTTAAGGATATTTTTATCTTTTTACCATATTTCTATTTTTGTAATTATATAACTCATTTAAGGGCGTTTTTATCTTTTACACAAGAAATGGCTATTGTAATGAATGTTAGATTTTTATGATTAAAATGAAAAATGATTAATTTGACAAAGTCAAACTTAAAAGTAGCCCGTTATATTATTTTGTTGTAGTAATGGCTGTAGATTAGTTAGGGTGAGAAGGGAGGAGAACTCATCAATTGAAGGCAAAATTAATTTTTTCCCCTACTATTTTCTCTTTCTTTGTAGCATTGGCTTCCTCTCAAATACCATAACGCAAGGAGTGACATTGCAGATAGATATCTACAAAAGATAGATGGTGGCACAAGAAGGCTTGCCTATTAATTTTTCCATGAGCTCGTACGCATTAAGATGCCGATACCTGCTATTTTCATCAATTTTCTACAAAGATTACGGAAGCTCCTTTAAATTTTCTGTGTTGGAATCTATATGTTGGTAATAATTCATTTGTTTTCTTTTATTTCAATTTGAAGGCGTGATTATCTGAATAGATTGTGTCCGGGCAACTCTAATGAGAAATTCAGATCTAAAGTTCCTACAAGAAGGTATCTCGCTACCTGTTTAATAGAATTTATCTGCTGGTGATGAATACTGTTTGTACACTAATGAGGCACATTTTCAATCAAAAGATTTTTTTTTTGAATTGTTTCAGATACACTAGAAAATTCGATTTGTTGTTGTTCATCTTGTTTCTAGAAATTTCCTTGCTACATTCTTGAATGTTTCCGTTGATTGATATATTACTATTCACAAGCATTCCAAAGTAGACCTGTTTGTGAATGTATGGATGAGAAGAAAGTTGGAAAGTTCTCCGGGCACTTGAGTTGACTTTATATTCAGTTTCTCATGAATAGTGTTTTCACATGTCTATCTTTTGCTCTCAACAGATTATTGACATTTAGAATCATAATTTGGCACTGATAATATCACTAGATGGTAGTTTTGTTGCGTCTATGGTAGTATTTCTCAGCGCTTCATGGACATTTTCATTTTATTGCTTCACCTCATTTCTTGAATTACCCTTTTAGTTGAACTTGTATCCTCGTGAATTCAATTTCTCTTATCATCCATTTGCTACAGCCATAACAATGACTAATCTGGATAATTGTTAACGTGCCTTTGCTTTTCCATAGGAAAACATTGCATGATACTTGCAATTGTCTTTACACCTGTATATGAGTTAAAAAATCTTCATTTTGTATGTGATGTTTCAGGTTTTTGGAGACTTTGCCATTGAAAGAACGGTGCAAAACTTGGCGTCTTGAGGTCTGTTCCTACTAACTTTGATCTCAAAGCCGTATTCTATCCTTCTGGTCACTCCTTACATGTATAACATGGATTAAACAGCAATTTCAGTTTGATTATTTCTTTCTTTTTTTTCCTTTTTTTTTTTTTGCGCGATTGATGTATGAAGTTGATGGAACATGGTTCTCCAAATCATGGATTTGACGCTCTAAAGCACCTAGCTCTAGATGATTCTGTTGAAGAAGTTTTGGAAGTCCTGCAGGAATATGCTCGATTAGTCCAAGGACTGTGGGTTCCAAAGAGTTCGCTGGTACATGGAACAGATTCAGGAATTGAAGTTTGAGCCAGGGTCTATATTCTTCTATTGTTTAGAAAGAATCCACTAGTTAACGATTGACAAATACCTCAACGTCCTCAACTTCCTAAAGCAATGAAAGACTTCCTAAATGTATTGGCTGTTGAGAGACCCATCCTCCTTCAGTGATTGGCAACTCAGAGAGCTTCCCGATCGAAGATTCATAAAACTCAATCCTACTGTTGCAAAGAAACAAGAAGAAGAATGGGAATCCTTGGAAAAGAAGACAAATGATCCTCTGTTTGGAGGAAGAAACGAACCTAGTACAAAGACTTCTTCAAAGTCTAATGTCATAAACAATCCGGCCACGTCAATGAGTTCCAGTAAATTAGCTCTCAAAACTCCAAATGAGGAATCCTCGAGGACGCCAATGCCAGAGACTTGAGAAGCTTTAATGAAGGCCCTTTAGAACCTTTTAAAAGGCATCAAGGTTTGCAGGTGAGATCACTTTATTACATCAAGCCCTTAGTTTCAAATAGTAGTTATATGTGGTCATAGTTTCAAATAGTAGTTATATGTGGTCATATTTTTTATTGAAGATAGTTTTCGTCACTGCATTGACGTTTTGTATTCTAAATCACTAGGTCACAGTTATATTGCATTTTATTTGATTAGTATTTGTCGATTTTCTTTGCATGCAGTAAGTGCTGATGTGACCTTGACATTCATGGCCTTTTCTGGCCCTAGCTCATTAAAAAAATTGAGACATGGTATAGTAACTAGAAGAGATGAGGAAGACGAGTGGTCTTGTGAATTATTTCTCTGCTTGCACTTAGGACACTAGTAGGATTACATTTTTGCATTAACTGGGCTGGAGCAATTGACACTGTTTAACAAAATGCCAATGGACCATATTTAAACATTTTTTTGTTATTATTACTTTTGTATTACTTATATTCTTAATGCAGAGGCAAAGAAACTAGTTTGAATTTTCTTATTTAATTAAAATTTATTTAAGCTAATGTGCCCTTTAATCTAGGAAACATAGGAGTGTTATGGTTTTCCTGTGGCAGTTTAGTTTGATTGTCAATAGATGGAATTTACTTGGCGCTATGTATGCCAGTTTTCAACAAATTTGCCAGCGTTTGAAGGACTTGGCAGATTCTGAGTCCGCCCGTTCCAGGGGATTTGCCAAAGAGACAGTTGCTGCAGCAAACAGCATTTGTGCTTTTCCTGATGAGCTTCAGGCAATCATTAGTCGATTTGCATTTGATATTCATGGTGTCTATGTTCCGAAATCATTTCCAGATCATCCACAATATGATCCATTCAGGTTACACCTGCCTTCATTTATTTTGGTTCTAGAACATTGATATTTTTCTTTTATTAAGTTCTCTTTATAAGAAAGGATCACCATTTTATATCGTTCATTATTGATTTGTGGTTCTTTCTCTTCCAGGAAGGTTGTCATTGATCTTCTTATTGCTGAAGGACCAAAAGCAAAACTCAAAGAGGTTCCCATAGTCGAGGCTGCTAAGATGGAACTTAAAAGGGATATACCTCAGATTGGATATCAGAAGGTCAGAGTCAAGCTTACAGATTAATTATGATGAAATTGTAATTAGGTGTTGAGATCAAATACGCTGTCTCCTTGACACCATTCAGGCGAACTTACTATTTCCTGAAATTTTTTTAATTAGGTTTTGATTAATTTTTGAGGCCTTACGAAAGCACAAACAAGATTGAGAATCTGAGGAGATTGTCACAGGAGATATAGGAGATTACCACTCTCATTGTGTGGGGGTTTGTGGTTGGGAGGGAGGTAGCCCTATTTGCCTTGCCCTTAATCTAGCATCTATCTTACCTGCCTATCATGACAGCTCCCAATGTTTTTCCTTCCTATGAAAGATTCTTAAGCGTCGCTCAACCTTTGTCACTCACTTCTTTTAAATGAGCACTTAATCTAGCATTATTCTCATGAGAGGAAGCTAAGCAATGGAATTATAAAGCAGAGAAATGTGTAGTGAATATACTTTTGAGAGCTGGTGATATGTGATGTGAGGAAAGATATATTATGCTTGCTCCTAGAAGTTTCCCCATGCATATGCTCTTAGAATTCCCTCAATAATTTAGAATACTCTTAGTGACCACTGAGCTAATTTTCTGATTCTCGTGTGACTGTCTCAAGTCAGACCTCCTTGTGGGAAAAATATATATACACATGGTTTCCTAAGCACACAGTCTTATAGTTTCTTATAAGCTTCCTATGCAGAACCTTAGTTACTAGGAAGAGAACAGAGATATTTTACTGGTCATGTCCCCTTCACTGTCACCCTTGATATGTTCCAGCACTACAAGATAAATATTAATTGACCTACTGAGCCTCTTGTCCTCTTCCCTATTATCGTCGATGGAAGCCTCAATGACTTATTTGTGATAAATTGCTTGCTAATTTAGGTTATGTATTCCCTTATGTGCTGCAGGTTTTACAGGAACTATGTCTATCACAAGGTTTTGAATGGGTCCTTAAAAGTGGCGATGGAAATCCACAAAAGTAAAGTTCATGCAACCAAATTCTACGTTAGTCTACGAGGTAAGAATTAGCATATTTACTATGTATTACGATAAGTAATAAAGTAGACACATCTCACCACAAGACTTAATGGAAAATTTCTAAATTGCATGAAATTCTTGAGCTTTGTGTTCAAGAAAGAAAATCTCTGCTTATTCTGTTTACATGGATCATTGTGATCTGTTGTTGTTTGTCTGAATTTACCCTTAAGTGCCTTGGTAATCGAGTTGATGTGATGTCTGAGTTTTGCATTTTGAAAAGAGGATTTACATCGTTCCTTGAAGTTATATCAGTGCATAGCATCAGTTTAAATCATCCTTGAATATTGCCTAATTGATTCTCATCACATATTGGAATTTGAAAAGTTAATAGGTCTGTTTAATGTAAACGCAGAAGTACATATACACAGAACAAGGAATGTGTGTTTACATATACGTATTTGTGTTTAAACTACTATTAAGATGGCTGAGGTACAAAAGTCATTTGTTGAAAATGGTAAGGAACCTGTTTCTTTGGAAGCAGCAAGGGATGTATTCTTGATATCTCGAGTGGCTCTTTGAACATTCAACCTTCAGTGCAGCTATGATGATTTAAAATATACAAAGGATACCAAATACACTGGGGATGAGTCTTCCATGTAATTAAACACATTAATATATACCATCAGAAATAATATTTTGTTAAATATATATGATTTCATGCTGCTACAATATTGTATCCTTCTGTTAGCATTAATTCTTTTTCCCTTTAAAATGTTCGGCCTTATTGTCACTTGTCAATACCGTGGTTCATCCAAACAATTCATATTTGATATTGACGAAAACGAAAAATTATAATGACTTGCAAATGTATTAATTCTCTTAAATGAATTAAAGAACCTTAGTGCTACAACCTGACTCGTGGTCGTGGTTGTCGTATTCAATTTAATTTTGTGCTCCCAACCCTTGTACCTAAGTCGAAGTGATGCAGTAGACACCTCGTGCTATCAGAATTTTCTTACGAGTGCCTTTGGAAATTAAAAAATTCCCTCAATAATTTAGAATACTCTTAGTGACCACTGAGCTAATTTTCTGATTCTCGTGTGACTGTCTCAAGTCAGACCTCCTTGTGGGAAAAATATATATACACATGGTTTCCTAAGCACACAGTCTTATAGTTTCTTATAAGCTTCCTATGCAGAACCTTAGTTACTAGGAAGAGAACAGAGATATTTTACTGGTCATGTCCCCTTCACTGTCACCCTTGATATGTTCCAGCACTACAAGATAAATATTAATTGACCTACTGAGCCTCTTGTCCTCTTCCCTATTATCGTCGATGGAAGCCTCAATGACTTATTTGTGATAAATTGCTTGCTAATTTAGGTTATGTATTCCCTTATGTGCTGCAGGTTTTACAGGAACTATGTCTATCACAAGGTTTTGAATGGGTCCTTAAAAGTGGCGATGGAAATCCACAAAAGTAAAGTTCATGCAACCAAATTCTACGTTAGTCTACGAGGTAAGAATTAGCATATTTACTATGTATTACGATAAGTAATAAAGTAGACACATCTCACCACAAGACTTAATGGAAAATTTCTAAATTGCATGAAATTCTTGAGCTTTGTGTTCAAGAAAGAAAATCTCTGCTTATTCTGTTTACATGGATCATTGTGATCTGTTGTTGTTTGTCTGAATTTACCCTTAAGTGCCTTGGTAATCGAGTTGATGTGATGTCTGAGTTTTGCATTTTGAAAAGAGGATTTACATCGTTCCTTGAAGTTATATCAGTGCATAGCATCAGTTTAAATCATCCTTGAATATTGCCTAATTGATTCTCATCACATATTGGAATTTGAAAAGTTAATAGGTCTGTTTAATGTAAACGCAGAAGTACATATACACAGAACAAGGAATGTGTGTTTACATATACGTATTTGTGTTTAAACTACTATTAAGATGGCTGAGGTACAAAAGTCATTTGTTGAAAATGGTAAGGAACCTGTTTCTTTGGAAGCAGCAAGGGATGTATTCTTGATATCTCGAGTGGCTCTTTGAACATTCAACCTTCAGTGCAGCTATGATGATTTAAAATATACAAAGGATACCAAATACACTGGGGATGAGTGTTCCATGTAATTAAACACATTAATATATACCATCAGAAATAATATTTTGTTAAATATATATGATTTCATGCTGCTACAATATTGTATCCTTCTGTTAGCATTAATTCTTTTTCCCTTTAAAATGTTCGGCCTTATTGTCACTTGTCAATACCGTGGTTCATCCAAACAATTCATATTTGATATTGACGAAAACGAAAAATTATAATGACTTGCAAATGTATTAATTCTCTTAAATGAATTAAAGAACCTTAGTGCTACAACCTGACTCGTGGTCGTGGTTGTCGTATTCAATTTAATTTTGTGCTCCCAACCCTTGTACCTAAGTCGAAGTGATGCAGTAGACACCTCGTGCTATCAGAATTTTCTTACGAGTGCCTTTGGAAATTAAACCTTATATGTGGTATCGTGTTTGCAGGTGCTACACCATTATTATACTTCTCTGCCAACTTTATTTATTCACTATCTGGAATTCTATTTGGCCGGATTAGGTCACCAGAGTATGATTTGCTATCTAGCATGATCTTGTATGCAGTGATGATCTCAGACCATAGGAAGGCAGGCAAGATAAAGAAAAAGACAATAGATCTCGAAATTTAACTTCGTTTACATATATGGTTATTCATTGTAAAGCTAAATTAGTCTCTAAGCCAAGGATCGATGAGTCTTTTCCTTGTGTTCGTATTTGTTGACTGGGCATTGTAAGAATCTTTTTAGAGGGTAATTTTTCATGTCCATTGCTTCTAATGGGCTCTTCTCTCAACATTGATATAGGGTATAATATTGAAATGTTGTGAACTCTTTAAGTCCCTCAAAGAAACCCAAATGTCGAGTTGTTTAATGGCTTGTTTGGTTGGACTTTGAAAAAGTCAAAGCTGTTTATAAGATTATCGATGTTTTTGGATAATTTTTAGAAAATGATTTGACTGGTTTGATGAGCTTTTTAAAATTGATAACTTTTTACAAGTAAAAGTCTTGTCAAACAGGTGTTAAAGTATAAGTCCTGTTAATTGAGTTGAGTGAGGATTAGTTTGTTCTACTAAAATGTGCTTTTTACAATAAAAAGTGGACTAAAGTAGATCATGATAAATTGATCTATAAATAGCCCATCTAACTTTAAAAAAATCGAGTCATTTTTACATTGACATTCAGTGCTTGTTTGGGAAAGTTAAACGGTTGATTTTGTTAAAAGAAGTGGAAGGTCTTTTGAAATGAGTGGTGGAAAAGAGAGTAATACTGGTGAATTTTGTGTAATGTAAGATTACTATTAAGGGTGGTTATATTATCATCACAATAAGTGTTTGGTGCCCTATAATTTTCTTATTTATTTTAAAAAATCACTAGTAAAATGACATAAGTACCCTATCTTTTATTCACTAATATATTTATTCATATGATCACTATCATCCGCACACAAAAAAATACCTAAAGTCCTATTTAAAGATACAAATGCCAAGATCAAAAGATCCAAGATTGAGGAAAAGAGCAAGAAATTTTAGGATATGGTATAGGCATTTTATAATATTGAATCTATTATTTTAAAAGTTCGCTATATTTTTCTGAAGAAACTCGTCATTATTGTAGAATATGCCATTATACAACCTGCAAGAGGCATTGGATTTGGAGGCTAAATGTTATAACCCACTCACTCATAGTCAAAGTCAAGAAAATTATTTAGTCAAAGTCCGAAATTCAATTGGTTAAAGTCAATTTCAAATAGGGATTTAAATGAAATAAATTATTTTATTGGGGTTTAATTTATTATGAAAAATAGTTAAAGGTTTAAAATGGATAAAACTTAATTTTAGGGATCTACTTATATATTATTGGAAGTAAAGGACTAGATGCTATATTAAATTGAAGAATAAGGACTTCCTATGCAAAAATGGGTTGTGGAGTGCATGTGACAAGTAATTAACCCATTACTATTTTCATATAATAAATACATACCGAGAGATGAGGCTGGAGATGGGCAGAAGCAAGAAAAACCAAGAAAGAGAGAAGGAAAAGGAGAAAAAGAAAAGGGAGAGAGAGAGAGAGAGAGAGAGAGAGAGAGAGAAGGAGAAGAAAAGGAAGCGGGTCTTCAAGCTTGGATTCTCCATTTCTTCATTGATTTAGAGAGGTAGGTGTAAGTAGGATGAGTTATCTTTTTGAGTTTATGAAAATTTTCTAAAATTTAAGGTTTAGCAAAATTAATGATTGTTGATATATGTTTGAGGCATTAAAAACAACAATAATATTAGTGTTGAAAGGAAGGAAATTGAAATGGGTTTGTAAATTAGAGTTCCAATCTTTGAATTATTGTGTTTACACTTGATTTATGATGAATTAGAGTGGTAAAAAAAAATTTAGGTTAGATTTTGGTATTTATAATAAATTTTCGAGCAAAATTCATGTGCAGGTGCTATTCATGAAATTCTGCCCAGAAAAGTGCCATTTCTGTCAATGGTTTTGATGCCAGATCTTAATATGCAGAAATTGGTGCCAGGTTTCAATTTTTTGGGATTTTAGTGCTGTTTTTGACAAAACACTTATTTTTCAGATTTTTAAAGGCTTCAATGAAGTTATATGATAAGTATTGAGGTTTATGTATTGGAATAAATTATGTATAGTGCTTGTATATGTATAAGTTAATGATTTTAAGGAAGTGTGGGTAATTTAATAGATTTGATAATACATGGTGTTTAGTCGATGAATTAATAAAGAGAATAAAAGTTGGGGATTGGAGATGTAAGAGTAAATATAGAAGTTGAGGAGTTAAGTGGTGGAATTGTATTGATTTAAATATGAAGTTTCAATTTGAGTAATTATTATACCGTTATTTCAGGTAGTGACGTGAAAACTTGAAAATACTTGTCAATTTAGCCAGATTTCTATCCATAAATATGTGAATGGAAAAAATATAAATATTTTTAAAGTATTTATAAATTAAGTATATTGTTAAAGTATGTGCAATTATGTTCTCGAATTATATGGTTATTATGAAAATATATTTTATTATGATACATGTGATATTTTAAAGATTGTATACGGTACATTGTGAATTGGAATATGAGACATGATTTTGAAATCGACCAAAATAATACCCGTGATTATATATTTCTTCTAGTTCACTGAGGAGTCTTGGCCATGTTCTATACAACACTGAAGGGTCTTGGACCGGGGATGAAGGGGTCTCGACCGTATACATAGGGCTGCACAAAAAAATCATGAAACCGCAAATCGAACCGAAACCGTTGAGTTGAAACCATTGGTTCGGGTCCACATGGACCCATAGTTTCTTTTTCGTCAAACCGAACCAAACCGTTTCAAAATAGTTTGATTTAGGTTTTGATTTTCAAAAACTGTACAAATTGAACGGAACCCTTTTTAAATTTTTTAATTAAAACATTAATTTTATTAACTTAAAAATTTTAGGGTTTTTTCTATTTCTTTTTAAATATCAATTTAGTAATACAAATTATAACCAACTTATTGAAATAATCATAAAAAGTAAATTATGTTCATTATTATTGACCTATGATTTAACAGGTTCACAACAAATGTCTTACCCGATATCTAAACTAAACTAAAATTATTCCAAAATCATATGAAATGAAGAAAAAACACATATTTTCACAATCCAAATCATGATTCAACAAAATTACGTAAGTAAATCACGTCCAAAACTTTAGAAGCCCTAACATAAACTCTCATTTTCCTAACATTTGATGCTTTTCTGCCACTGTTGAACGATTACTAATTGCATTTGTCTGTTTTTGTTAGTCTACTAATCTCTTCCCGAGTCGTCTCTTTCTCTCTTCTCGTCTTAGATTCTTATTCAATCCATTTTTCCATTGTTCTTTCTTTTATTTTATTTTTTTGAACTTATTATACATTTGTGAGTTCTGGTTTGGATAGAAAAATGATTATTCGTGTGCCTAGTTGATTAATGAACTTGTTTGTGATTTGGAAAAAACAAAGGACGGAATGTATTGATTATATGAAAATGTTAAAGTTCCCTAACTAGTGTTATTACCTTCTACTTTCATAAAGTAGTTAGATGATAAAATTCGTCAATTTTCAATAAGTCAAAAATCTATTAATCTTTGTACATCTAAATATATCACGTTTAATTCTTATTTTACATCTCACTAGCAAGACGAAAGGAATTTTAACCAAACTATAATAACAAAATGTAACTCTACCTTTACCAATAGTTATATGACAATGCGAATGTCAAATAAGAAAAGATAAATAAAAATGAAGAAAGATGTATTTGTTCTATTAACATCTTTTAGAAAACAACTTTGAAAATAATTTATTCACGGGTTTCATAGTAATTATGAATGTAATTTAACATTTAACATAATTAGTTATTGTTTAAACTTATATTTAATTTATGTTAAATACATTACTATAATGTCGAAAAGTAAACCGCAGATTAAAACCGAACCAAACCGCAAATTATGGTTTGGTTTGATTTGAAAAAATTTCAAACCGCATAAAATGGTTTGAGTTGAAGATATAGCACAAACCGCCCAAATCGAACCGCGATCACCCCTACGTGTACATATAGTTCACTGAGAGGTCTTGACCGTACTCTAGAATTGATTATGAGAGGTATTTGAGATCATCGTTCATTCATGGAGGGAGTCAAACGCCCGTGGTAAAAGTTCTTAGCCCGAGGGGTGGATTACATATTTCAGTCAGAGGGTACATTTTTGGTGAATTTTTTAGCATGCTTGATGTGATGAGATTATAGCGTGGTTATCAGCTGATATTTATATCATGATTTTGAGATGATATTTTACAACGTTATGTGAATGTTTCACTTTTGGTTATAATTACATAATGTTATCTTGTGAAGTATTAAATGATATGAACTCGATTTTTGATAGAAATGTAAAATTGAAAAGGTATAATTATTTTCGAACTTCTTCACTCACTGAACTATCAACTCATATATTTTCCCACGATTTTTCCTACAGGTAGCAATTGATTCTTTTTAGCTGAAGAGCCTAATGATTTTGGAATGAAAGCCACACAGTATGTTGAATATTATAACTCATATTGATGAAATATGAAGTAAATATTTTGGGCCCATCGCATTATGTTTTACATAAGCATTTGATTTTGTTGTATTTTTTTGAAGTAACTCATAGTCAGCCTTGATGATAGATTTGACATCTAGTCAGCATCTATCTTCGGTGCACGTCTCGTCTCGGGTTCACTAAGGTGATTCGGGATGTGTTGTGTCAGAGTGGTATCTAAGCATGGTTTTGAAAATTTTTATGGTTTATGCATGCTCAGTGGGTATGATCACATGTCGTGGTGATAGAAATCATAAGCTCTCTAACTCGAATGTATGAAACCAAAAATAATAGAAAAATATTTTTTTAACTGATTTAGAAGCGACTCGTATGTAAGTATGGTAGTTGTAATGATCTAATGGTTGGAAATGATATTAGTTGTTGGGTTGAAACTATGTGTGTATGTAACCTATTAAGATTTGAACAGATTGTGATGATTTTGTAGGGCATTTGAAGTTACAGATATTACAACCACTTAATTATCAATTTATTTGTAGAACTACATGATTTTTTTTATGAGTACATAGGAAATTTTTTAGCTATAGCTTGCACGATAAATACAAGGAAATGATATGATGTGTAATCGGTGACAATTAGTGGGGAATTTTAATTATTCTTGAAGCCAAATGGTTATTAGTGTTATCAAATTTTGTGGTGATTTAAGGCCACTTTAATGGGATGATAATAGAAATCATGATGATGTATATTTATGCTATATGATAAGGTGGAAGACAAAATGATAATTTGTTGATTGATAGAAGACAATGTGTTATTGTGTACTTTAAGCATCAAGGAAATTAACGATAATTTCAATTATTTATGAGTAGTTTGATTACAAGGAATGTTAGAATAATAGGGATGAACTTCACAATGTTTACCTATTAGGGAGTGATTTGTTTATTTAAAAACAGAATTAATTGGATATGTGCATTTAGGTATGTTTATGCGAAAAAAAAAATTGAAATTGAGAATGGTAGAATCGAAGTTTGTTGAGATTGGGAAATTAACATGCGGTATATTGATATGTGAAATGTTCAAGTGATAAATATGAAGGTTATCATCTTGTGATATTAAGGGAAATTTATATAATTAAATGTTTTAGGTCATACAATATGACGATAAATGCTAAGGTTACAAGATCATAACATGATATGGTGAATAGCATGAAAATGAATGTAATGGTTGTCCTATAGCAAAGTAATATGATGATTTATTTGGGTTATTTAAGTTAACGAATTTTGTTAGGGCCATTTGTTGATTATTGTGTTACATTTCATACAATTTGGAAGCGTTGAGTTAAATTTTGAAGTTAAGATGAATTTATTGAAATGTTAGTTATGTAAATTTTGGGCTATTTTTAATTGTATTTTGGATCATGAACAAAGTATTCAATTTTTGTCAAAATAAATTTGTTAAGGAATATAAGTAAGACATGTTAGCTATGTCTAAAGTTTAAGATGATCATCAAATATAGATTTTACTCATTGTGAAATAGTATCTTTTGGTTACATTATCTTAATTAAAGGTCTTTATGTGATATACAAAAAAGATTATGCATTGACGATAGATCAACAATCTATTTATGAAATAAGAGTATAGATTTTCATGGATCAAATGTTATTATTGTCTCTTTATAAAAAGAAAGAACAAAATTTGTATGTGTATAGAAATGTCAAAAGTTTTGCTATCAGGAAATATTGAAAAAATATTTGCTCTTATATTTAAAGATGATAAGCGATTGATTCACGATAATGATTTATGTTATGGTTTAGAAATTGTTTTCTAAGTGGAACGATAAAATATGGATTATGTTGTAGATTGATAAAGAGATATAATTAAATCATGATATATGGTTGATTATATTGGGATTGACATTTAGGAATTGTGGCATTATCACATGGTGGGAAGACCAATACTTACGGACCACATGAGTTTAAGGAATATTTATATTCAAAAAGGAGCTGAACTTAAAGCTATGTATATATTATCGTTAGGTGATAAAATGAAAAGTTAAAAATATCACATATTTATATTAGGATGATATTTAAGGTATCGGTTCAACATGTATTTCATATGTTCGGTGGTTAGTAAATGGACGTCAGATTTAACTAATGCTATAAGATCATCAGTGGAGTTGGTTGAAAATCTTACATATGAAGAAAAATCAATTCGGATCTTGGATAGGAAATGAATAGATTTTGTGCAGAAAGTCTATTCCACTAGTTAAAGTTTGTTTGGAAAAAAAAAAAATAGAGGCTTCATGGGGCAAGTATTCAAATATATGCTCTATATCTTTGTGTTCGAATCCTAATTGATTGAATTTCGAGGATGAAATTTTTTGAAGGGGGTAAGATTGTTATAACCCACTCACTCATAGTCAAAGTCAAGAAAATTATTTAGTCAAAGTCTAAAATTCAATTGGTCAAAGTCAATGTCAAATAGGGACTTAAATGAAATAAATTATTTTATTGGGGTTTAATTTATTATGAAAAATAGTTAAAGGTTTAAAATGGATAAAACTTAATTTTAGGGATCTACTTATATATTATTGGAAGTAAAGGACTAGATGTTATATTAAATTGAAGAATAAGGACTTTCCATG